AAAAAAAAAAAAAAAAGCGCAAGTCTGAGAACTACAGCCAGATGGCGCATGTGATCTTCAGAAGAGACTGGTGTGTGGGCAGTGTCTTGGACTACACTCTAACCAAGCTTCTTTCTGCCTTTGTCTGATCATTAGTGAAGAGGAGAGGCAAGTTGTAACTACCCTGGGGTGAGGCCCCGCACAGCGGCTCAGTCCTGCAATCCCAATACTCTGGGCGGCTGAGGCTGGAAGATCTCTTGAGCGGAGGAGTTTGAGACCAGCCTGAACAAGAGTGAAACCCCCATGTCTATTAAAAATGGAAAAATTAGGACGAGGCTTGTGGCTCAGTGAGTAGGGTACCAGCCCCATAAACCGAGGGTGGCGGGTTCAAACCCAGCCCCGGCCAAACTGCAACAACAACAACAAAAATAGCTAGGCGTTGTGGCAGGTGCCTGTAGTCCCAGCTACTTGGGAGGCTGAGGCAGGAGAATTGCCTAAGCCCAGGAGTTGGAGGTTGATGTGAGCTGTGATGCCACCTCACTCTACCAAGGAGACAAAGTGAGACTCTGTCTCTATTTAAAAAAAAAAAAAAAGCTCGGTGCCTGTGGCTCAAGCAGCTAAGGCACCAGCCACATATACCTAAGCTGGTGGGTTCAAATCTAGCCCAGGATGCCAAATAATAATGACGGCTGCAACCAAAAATTAGCCGGGCGTTGTGGCAGGCACCTGTAGTCCCAATTACTTGGGAGGTAGAGGCAGGAGTATCACTTAAGCCCAGGCATTGGAGGTTGCTGTGAGCTGTGATGCCATAGCACTCTACCCAGGGTGACAGCTTGAGGCCCTGTCTCAAAAAAAAAAAAAAAAAAAAAATATATATATATATATATATATATAAAAAAATAGAAAACTCAGCTGGACATGGTAGTGGGTGCCTATAGTCCCAGCTACTCAGGAGACTGAGGCAGGAGGATCACTTGCGCACAGGAGTTGGAAGCTTCTTTGTGCTAGTGCTTCTGTTACGGCACTCTAGCCAGTGACAGAATGAGACTCTGTCTCTAAATAAGTAAATAAATAAATACTACCCACTGGTGAGGATTAAATGAGATGGGGTCTTGGTCCATTTGAGCCACTATAACAAAATACCTTAGACTAGATAATTCATAAATATTATAGCATACATTTATTGTTGACAGTACTGGAGGCCAGAAAGTTCACAATCAAAGTGTCAGCAAATTCATTGTCTCCTGAAAGCATACTGTGTGCTTCAAAGATGGCCCCTTGCTTCTGCATCTGCATCTGGCAGAAAAAGCAAAGGGGTCTCTCAGTCCTTTTAATAGTGCACAGATCGGGCCAGTCATGGTGGCCACACCAATAATCCTAGCACTTTGGGAGGCTGAGGCAGGAGGACTGCTTGAGGCCAGGAGTCTGATGTTGCAGTGAACTATGATGATGTCCCTGCACTGTAGCCAGGGTGACAGAGCTGTCTCAAAAAAAAAAAAAAAAAAAAATAAGGGCGGCTGAGGCAGGAGGACTGCTTGAGGCCAGGAGTCTGATGTTGCAGTGAACTATGATGATGTCCCTGCACTGTAGTCAGGGTGACAGAGCTGTCTCAAAAAAAAAAAAAAGAGGTTCTTGCCATAGTTGAGGTGCAGCCTGCTGGTGTGAATGAAGGCAGGAATGGGGGAAGTAGAGAGGGTCTAGATTCAGAATGTATTTTAACTGTAGACTCGATATAATTTGTTGAATGATTGGGTGTGCTGTAG